AAATCCTAACTCATCATGTCCTCTCTCTCTAAGCAGGCACAAATTAACAGACTCTTTAGCCCCCACCGTCCTCCCTCCCTCCCTCCCCCCACACGTCTAGCCATAACCTGCCTGTGTTTACGGCAGGGTGACACCGTGTAACCTTTTTATATGCTAAGTGTCAGCCGATGGGGCAAACCACCAGATTTATTTTTTATGTAGAGATATCGTCTGTGCACGTGCATTAGAATGCGTCCACGTACACTGACACGATCTTGGGGAGGGGGCTCGGGGGGGGGGGGTGCTCTTAACCTCTGTCATCCATCAACTGACAACAGACAGCCCTATCTGTACATCCAGCCTGTTGTCTGTTGCCTTTTATTAGCGCTAAGACCTGGCCCTTCACATGATGTCATCCACATCTCATTACAGCGGGCTTTACCAGAGTGGCCTCTGACCGTCCATTTTGATAGAAGAGGATGAGGATGAGGAGGAGGATGAAGGAGTACATTTGAAAGTTAATACTTGCCCTACAAAACATCCAGAAGTAAATACTGCAAGCTCCAGCAGGGGGAGCTCTAAACACACAGTTACAATTTTTAATTTTGAAATCCAATTATAATTTAGTCTCTCTTTTGACAACATCGCTCGTATAGTAAATCTTTGACCTTTGTCTAGAGCTCAGGATAGCATGTCTGCGGATACCAATTAGCATCAGTCTTTTTTTTTTTTGCTAACATCAAAATTACGTTAAAAGTCGCACTATTTCCCAGTTGGACCAGACCCCTGCTCCTGGATTTAAATCTGTTAAATTTATTACAAAATTCACATTATGATTGGATCTTGGATTATATGTCCCGCCTTCTGTTTGACAAACATAACTCTGATTGGCTGTCGTTCTCATTTGTTCATCCTGTTTGCATCAGGAAATCAGGGCTGATACGACAGCTTTTATTAGTTGATAAATGCAAAGAAAAATGACGTCACTGTCATTTATCCCCTACAGAAATGTCCTGTTTCGTTCATTATTTATTTTTGGAAAATTCCCCTACAGAAATGTCCTGTTTTGTTCATTATTTAGTTTTGGAAAATTACTAGTTGATGACATTAACGTTGCGGAGAAAAAACCTAAACTGCATAGCCAGCTACAAATTTTAGCTTAAGTTTGCGAATTACTTCTGATACAAAGACTTGTTAAAGTGAATTACAGCCGGCTGGAGCTGTAAATTCACTGGCATTTAAAAAAGCTGTCTGTATAAATATATTTTACCTTAGCCAGTGGCAGAAACATGGCACACAGGTCTGAGTACAAGACTGTTCAACTGCAGGTCCTTAAATTTATGCTTTAAGTGTGTGTTTGGTCTATCGCTTAAGAGTGAAGGTCTCGAAAGCAGGTCACAGTTTGCTCCTTCTCAACAGGCCCGTGTCCTTGGGCAAGACACTGAACAAAGTACCTGATCACTCACTGGAGGTCGCCGTGAAAAACGGCATCCCAGATAAATGCCTGCAATATAAAAAGATGTGCTTGGTGGTGGAGCCGATGCCCCGGGGATCCTTCTCTCTGAACTCCCCTTCCCCGACCATCTGGAGATAACAGAGCGACTCCAGACTGTGCTGCGGGAAGAAGGAACTCCTACCTGTGCGATGAATTGGGGCATATGGGAAGGCAGTTGTTGTGGGGAGAGGAGTGAGTTTCCTTCAAATGGAAAATGATGGCTTCACACATCACCTTCTGAAGGAGTCGCTTCTAAAAACGGCCCCGGTTCACATTTGTATCCCGTCGGCTCTCCTCTTGACTATTTTTTATTTTTTATTCTTGAACCCCGGTGGTCAGTAATATCTCTGCATCTCCAAAAAATTTACTTCCACATTTTTCTTCACGGCGTCCGTGCGATTAGTCTCCAGCTTCTGTGATGGTGTTGGAGCAGAGATAAAAGACATAAATCTTTATGTTTTCTACATTTTTTTGAAGTGTTCCTACTGAGAGACATAGACTGGAAGAGAAGGCATAAAGGGAGACGGAGGCAGACGGACAGATTTAGGGGCAGATAAAAGAAGACACATTATGTGTCCTTCAGAAATCCAGCGACTCCACAGGCTCCTCCACCTACACCAGCTCTTCCCCACGCTCTCCCTGTCTTGTTTTACTCGCTCTTCTTTGTGTAACATATCTACTTGGCGCCGCGTTCTCCGACCCGCTGCTTTATTCCTCCGTTTCCTCTTGGCCTGGACTTTTTCTGCTCTTTGTTTTATGGTTCACTACAGTGAGGAATTTGTCCCTTTGCCATTTTTCGAACACTGGCGTATCCTTTTTAGTTTTGCCAAGATCGCCTTCGTTTTTTTTTTTCTTTTTTTCCCTCAAACCTCTCTTTTATGTATGCAGTTATTCTCTTCTATTCTGTCTAGCTTTTGCATACCTTTTTGCATTTTTTTTTCTCCCAGCAACCCCTGCTGTCTGCTGGCCATGATGTCCTGCCATCTGTGCAGGACACGACCAGTGGCTCAGGATACTGTTCCCTTAAATACGTGCTGAAATAAAATGAGGAATAAAATCAAAGTCAGTAACGCAGTCTTTTTATGATTGTGTTTGCACAGAATGAGAACAAAATACTTTTTTGTTCTACAATGTGACAAAAATGAGTTGTTATGGAGCAATTCATGAAAACAGAAAAAAATCTCCAGTATAAAAATAAAACACACTTAAATTTTACGATTCAGTTTGGCTCCCAGTAATTTTCCAAACAGAATGAAAATATTTAACAAAGCGCTGAAAAAAAAACAAAACACTGGAATCAGAGTTGGACGTTTTATGTTTTATGACCTGCATTTTTGAGATTTGGAGAGGTTATTTAATCCATGATTATCTGATGGAATATCGCCAAGAGAAACTGACTATTGCAGGTCGGTGTGTTCACGTTCACTGCAGCTGTTTTCAAAGGACAGCAGGCGATGATCAAACACCTCCTTTGATTCTACACCTAAAGACCAGAGAAGAAAACTTCAAGTGTTTACGCATTCTCCGAGTCTATCATGTGTTTTTTTTTGTTTTTTTTATCAGACTAAACTAAAATCCAGGGCTTTGAACCCCCTGGTACTCTGGTGTTCTTTGGTTCTTCGTACTCCGGGGCTGAGTGGCTGTGAGTCACGGTGGCAAATGCTAAAGAAGGTGAAGCAACTGCACCCTGTGGGAGGCAGAGAGTGACACAGTGGGTCAGTGAAGGGCTTTTTTGTGTGTAACTGAAGCTCACAGTGTCTGCTGTCCTGCCTTTGGTTGGCCGGTCCACGGGAAGCATGCTCAGGTTGCTGGAACTACAGCAGCAGCAGCATCAGCAGCAGCATCAGCAGAACAGTGGAAGGGGAGGTGGAGGTGGAGGTGGAGTAGATGGCAGCTTGACTCTCGTTCCCTGACTCAGACTCGGCTGAGGTAATTGCTCCTGCATTTTTAATAAGTGGTTGCTGCGTACACTTTAAGCAGCAGCAGCAGCAGCACTAAAGTATCTCCTGTATGGCAGCCCTGCAGGAGATTTGCTTTGTCGGGCCCTAAATGTTTTCTATAATATTCAGACCTGCTCTGAAGGTGATGTATTAATAATATATGTGATAACTGTGAAATTATTTTTCATGACAAATCAAACGTTTTTCTCTAAAAACACAAAATTGTAGCCAAAAAAAAATGACATTATTGCAGTTGATAAAAAGTTTGTCTTGTCATAGCAGATCTCACTACTAATGTCGTATGTCGTGTACTTCAAATACATGTAGTTACTTGAGAGGGATTTGCATTTTCATTGTCACAGTGATGGTGAAAATGACCTTCAATCTTCACCTCAGATATTTTTAAAAAAACCTGAAGGAAACAGACACCACCAGCATCAGACATGTCGTAGCAGTGAAACCCTACCACAGTGAGCCCCCCCCCAACCACCCTACTATGAAAAACATAAACCCATGCCTGTAACACCGAGTGTACGCGGCTGCATTAGTGACGGCAGGTTCAGTGAAAACACTGTGTCACGCACAGTTGGAGAAATAGCTCCGTAAAAAGCCAATCCTGCCATGAATGAGGATAAGCAAATAGGCATGAGCACTTGAATGGCTGCCAGTCCTGTCACATTCCCCTCTTACCCGGCCACAATGAGCTCCTATACAAATAAGGATACGTGCACCAATTTAGCACAGCAGATGAACCTTGCGAAGCCTTGTCGAGCAAGTGGGGGGATTACCGCGAGCAAACAGGCCTTTCTGCCGGCTTTATTTGAGTTAAATGACTCGAGCCACCCTCTTAGATTTAGCCTGAATGGCTTCTTTGGCAGAGTCTTTCACCGCCGCCGCTGCCGCCGCTGCTGCTGTATGCCAGTTATAAATCACACATGCTCACACACACGTCTGACTCCACTTAACATTTCAAGTGAATCTCACTGCCGCGTCTATCCCAGCCACCGTATGGAACACATTTGATTCAGGGTGAGCCGTCTGTGCAGCCAAGTGAAATTCAAGATCCAGACATGAATCGAGAATTTTTTTTTTTTGCATTCTGCTTAACTCTACCACACACACACACACACACTCAGACACTCACACAGACACACACACACACATTCTGTGCACTTGCTGCACATTACTTCACGCTGCATGACAGGCGTGATAGGTTTACAGCTAGAATTTGCTTCAGTCACTAGAACGGATCGTGCAATTAGCAGAAATGAGTACACATCACGCCACGGCTTCACTCAGCAGACATTAATCACTTGAATAACAACTGTAGACTTAAGCGAATGACTTGATGGTTTGGCAGGAGCCTAAACACTTGGAAATCAGTCGCTGGACTAACATGGCTGTGCGCAATGTTCATTTGTTTTATTGAGGGCCTGCGTGGGTACAAGGCTACGTATGGCCTCCGAACACGGGCGGAGGTTCATACATACGTCATCATACGTATGAAAACTGTTGGTGGGAATTTTCTGTCATGCCCCCCCTCTCTGGGACAGAAATGTTTTCATGCCCCCTCCGACCCATAGCACAGACACCGACGTGTGTGCATTACTCAGTATGTGGAAAAACACTGACGAGGGCACGTGGGCGGCATGAATTAGACGGCAAGGACACTGATCCGGTGAGCTAACCCAGCCTGGGAAGAGTCTCTCCGACCAGGATAAATGAAGAAGACCGCGGCGGACGGAGCCGTCGGCACGGCGGAGCTCGATTGGAGGAGAGATTATTATTCTTCGGTGGTAATTAGTAGCACATAAACAGCCAGAGGCAACATCATTTTAGAAAATGTGCCTTTGTGATACGTGGTCTCCGTACAACAGGCCTGTTCTCGTCGCTCTTCAATAGTTAATCATGTTGCCTCCAGGACGTCCCCCGTGCGCTCACACAGAGGGTGAGGAGCCGGCGTACGGCAGATGAAGTTGGTCTGACGATGGACACACATCACTGGTCTCCTGCTGTACTGTCCAAACATCGGACAAACCCTTTGATTGAGGTTCGTCATTGTTAAAGGTTCCATAGTGCGGTTAGCATGTCTGCCTCGAGAGCAGAGATCATTGTTAAAGGTTAGCATGTCTGCCTCGAGAGCAGAGAGTCCTGGGTTTGATTCCCAGAGGAACCACACGCTTGATTGTTAATCCTCCTCCTGTAAGTCGCTTCGGATAAAAGTGTCTGCTAAAAGCATTAATGTGAATGATTCACCGCAGAAACAGACCAACAAAGACGAGAATATTTAGATGCTGAAGATCTATTAAAATTTTTTAAATCAAAGAAATGGGTATTGTAACAAAATGGTACGTTGCGACAGGATTGGCAATCAAAGAATTATATTACTTATATCTGACTAATCCCCCTGCTGTCCAGATCGGCTCACTACATCAAAATAACCGGGGACATCTGAGCAGCCTGAGATTTAAACCTTCGTATTTAAGGTTTCTGTGCCTTTTAAATACAGATTTCAACCTCACTGAATGGGTTTCTGCATTAACAGAGACCAAACCAGCCCCTTCCCAGTGCTGAGTGTATGCAAATGTTTGCATGTGAGTACTTTTACAGTTGATGAATACTAATGTTTTCACTTTTCTTGTAGTTTTCTGTCCTTGGGCCTTTATTGAAAATGTTAAAATAAATAAATAAATACATACAGGAAGCCTTGAAAAACACTTACTTCCTAATTCCCTGTCTCCTCTCCTTCTCCCTCTCATTAGCTGCGTTGAGCGCCCCCATGGAAAACTTGTATCCATTATTTATTTCTAGCCCCCAAAAACAACAGCTGCACGCTTGTGTAACTGCCATATGTTAGGCTTCTCCCAACATATTGGGGCGATTCAAGCCGCGGAGGGAAACTTTCCACCGACCGACCCGCAGAGATCTGTAGCTGAACTTGGATTACTTCACAAACTCATTTTTCTCTGTATCGATAGAAAGAAAGAAAAAAAACGATGTAAACTTTCTTCAACAGAGGTAGAAAAAAACCCAGACTCTGTAGAGTAATTAACAACAATAACAGCACGGAGCCAAGTCTTTTCAGATGCTCCTCACCCACTGGACTATCAGAGAGAGGGGAGAAAGGGTCACATTAGGATTCAGCCGATAAAGCAATAAACCCTTGTAGTAGCTGCAGTCGGCGCCATTCAGAGCAGATTTTGTGTCCTCAGCACTTTGGGCCTGCAATTAATCACTAAGCTGACATTACACTCCCTGCGAACGTTGGATAAACACCGTGGAAGCGGCCAGACCCCGTCCTCCGCTGCCACACAGGGCCGCTGTAATCTGGCGGACAACTGTTGACACTTTCAGAAATGTTGAGGAATTCTGTGCTGCTCCGGTTCTGGAGACTTCCTGCGGTGAGCCGGGAGGATGAGCCGACTTAGTCGGTGGCTCCAACAGCCAATCGGAGCCTGCGGCGGGCGAGCCCTGCTCTGTCACCCTCCCAGTCTGGGGCTGGTGGAGCGTGGTCGCCTCTCACGGCTGATATGTGGCAGCATTAACTTGTGTGTCGCATCTGTTTAACCCCTGAGTGTATTTACGTGTGTGTGTGTGTGTGTGTGTACATGGGGGTTGCGCCAGAGGTTTGGGGGGTGGGGGGAGTGGCGGGGGGCCTGCTCTGTCACCCTCCCAGTCTGGGGCTGGTGGAGCGTGGTCGCCTCTCACGGCTGATATGTGGCAGCATTAACTTGTGTGTCGCATCTGTTTAACCCCTGAGTGTATTTACGTGTGTGTGTGTGTGTGTGTGTGTACATGGCAGTTGCCACAGTGATTTGTGGAACGGGAAGCCTCTGGGCCTGTCGAGGCTTCATTAGGATGACTGCTGGCTCTGTGTGCTCCCATTGTTACCATAGCAATAGTTGCCAATAGTGTTTGCTTACCCAGCCCATTGTTTCACAGCAGGTCGGACCAGGTTACTGTAAGGATTGTACCGTAACGCAGCGGCTTAACTCTGGTTGGCAGACGCCTTTCGATTGGTCCGCAACAACACAGCACGTCGTCATCATTTTCACCTTCTTTTTAATATTATTTATATAGAAAATAAGTTGTTGTTAAAATGTCAAAATCCTGATCCTGGACTAGGATTTGAATTTATTAGTGATCCAAGTGATGCACCTAGACATATATATATATGCACATATATATAAATATATATATTTGTATGTATGTTTGTCATTTGTTGCAGGGGGTAATGAGGAAGGCAGTTCAGCTAATCGACCTGTTGTAATCAGAGCTCGTTGATGTGGGAGTCGAACGTCTTCCAGTGAAGGATCAGGATTCGTCAACCACTGAAGCCCAGATTCACTGACTCATGAGCAGAAATATCAGTTTGAGCGGAAACATGAGGCAGCGGGACCTTTATCGTTGAGAAGGAAGGGAGTTTTTTTTTTTTTGGGGGGGGGGGGGGGTAATGAGGAAGGGTGGGAGTCTGTTTGAGTTCACAGAGTTCACTGGAAGGGACTGACACTCAGCTTCCTCTCCTGCAACCTCTCTTTCTCCCTCTCCTCTCTGCTGGCTGATCTAAATAATTTATCTCATATAATTTATCTCTTACTCACACACACACACACACACACCTCATGGGGGTTAGATCCTGGGGCTGGTGTAGGGTGATCAAGCTGGAATCTGCACAGAGAGAAACCTGATAGTCGACCTCTGTGCCAAACACATGAGGTCACCCTGAGTGACTGGCCCTGCCTGCCTGCCTGCCTCTGCTCCATCTCTGCCTCTAGATTCAACCTCTCTGTCACTGAAAAATTACGAAAAGATGCTAAAGTAGTTGCTAGTTAGCTGCGTGTTCGGCTAAAGCAGGACAAAAGCTGCTGTTGTTTAAAAATGCCACTGCAGGAACCAGGAAAATCTGCTGGTTATTTCTGCTGTGGTCTGTTCAGAATGACATCACCTCAGCGGAGGTTTCAGATTGTTGTCTGATTGTTGTCTGATTGTTGTCCGTTGGCAGGGCTGTAGGATGTCATGACATTAACTTTACAATAGGAAAAGTCGAGTAAGTGATGAGAGAAAAACAGGAGTCACCTTTGGCTCCACCCAGGCCTTACCTACAGTAACTAACCTCCACCTTCATTGACTTGGTGGTGACTGGGTGGATGAGGAATGTTGGGCATCATTAAAGGTTGGTGTTCTGCACAGGGCTTCAAATCCAGGCTGTTTGGATGGAAGCTCTGGTGTTTCAGAATATCAGATCCAGATCCTGTGAATTCCTAGAATTAAAACCTAGATATTATCTCCAGATCCAGATCCTGTGAATTCCATCCTCGTGCCCTTTGAGATCCTAGAATTAAAACCTAGATATTATCTCCTTACATTGGTTGCCCTGGGTTTGTCGTTTCAGTTTTCAGGAAGCCGTGATGTCACGTCTCTGCCTTTAGTTGTTGTTTGTTTGTATGAGTTAGCACTTGACACTGATACACGTCCACCCTTACCTCGGGGTCTCACATATTTATATATGACATATTTGACTTCTATGAAGAAAATTCCCAGTGTCTATTTTTAGCAGATCTATGTTGATGTTCTCAGCCATCGGGGAATCATTACAAATAGTGTTTCACACTTTAAAAAAAACAAACAAAAGGATTCAGTGACTAAAAAAAGTAAATGTGGAAATGCTGGAGGTCTGACCACAACTTTATGGATCACTCGTTGTTTTTAGGGCGTTTGGGATCCTATTTGTAGCCTGTTATATAGTGTGAAAAACAATACGCTCTGCAGGCTCTAGGAGTTGATGGCCATGAGTGGTGGGAGTCTTAAAATGGAAAATGTGTAGCAACTCTAAGCTCCTGGGACTCGTCTTTTATCCTGAGCAGCTCTTTGAAATACCCACCCAAACCCAAACAATGCTGTCGACTCAAAGCGCTGGTCTCAGAACGACCCTAAACATGTGCGCTTTAGATCCCGGCTCCTGTTCTGTTGTCACACAAGCATCCAACATGGACACCTGCATTTGATCAGTCCACACACACACACACTCTGGTTGATCTTTACAGCTTTTTCAGAACAACATCCTTCCCCGTGGTCACAGCAGCATAAACCCAACCTCACCCCACCACCAAAGTAAGGTTCTGATAACTGGATTATCACTGAGGAAGTATCAATACTAGCAGTGGTCCTTAATGAGATACAAAAACAAACACACACACACACACAGCCTCCCCCTCTAGACACCGACGCCACCTCTGACTCTCACGCATCTCATGTTCTCTCCCCCCTGCCCCCCCCCCCTCCCCGTATTATGTTAAAGTGGACATGCGTAACTGCGTAGCTGGCGTGGTTTGTTGTTTTTGTTGGCGGTTGTCAACCGCCCCCACGGTGTCTCCGGCTACAACGATCATTGTTGCAGGAACCACAAATCTTCATCACGGTTTTCACAAATACGCTCCTTCTGTGAGGTCCTACTGTCGAGAGAGGCAGTGAGAGGGTGAGGGAGGGCAGAACGTGTATCATTAGCCCGGGGTGTGTTTTTGCTATTAAAGCTAAGAATCTGGACGTCTGTCCACCGTCCAGATTTCTTTGTGTAAAGTATACTGTAGTACTACTACATATTTATAAAGCAGTACAAAAATAAACTTTAGGTATTATATATTTATTGTTGTTCAATCTGTTGTGCTAAAGAAGAAAAAAATACTACATGATGGTGATAAACAAATTCCAGCAAAATAGTATTCTGTATGTAGTATTTAAGTACAGAGTTTTTTCATTACTACGTCATTTTGCTGTTAGCAATCAAGCTAAAAATATTGAGTGTGAAGGATAAAATAGCTTTAATCTCTATTTTCGGTCATGACGACTATTTGCTAACATCGTCATCTCTTTGTCATCGCAGTTGAGCTCAGTTTGGTCCAGTCACGGGGAGCTATTGCTAACAGAGGCTAAAGAGCCAAGTGTGGCCCAGGAGCCAGAGGTTGCAGACCCCTGACCCACTGTAGAGTCTTGAAGTATTCCAGATACAGACTTAATGAATGAACTGATGCTAACGGTGGTTTATTTGTACAGGTTTACACCAAGTTCCACTGAAGTAGATATTGATCTCCATATCAATACATTTCCATGTTGTCCATTATTTAAACCCCGACACTGTTTGGGTGGTAAAGAGGAAATACACTGAAACCTACACTTTGACTAAGGTCCAAATCAAAGCCATTAGGACCTTGAACTAAAACACTATAATGACATTGTAGCTGCCAGTACCGCGTCGCTGAAACATCGAGTACCAGCAGTAATTAACATTCACTTTTCTGTTTCCCCAAGAGTCACAAAGCAAAAGTCAATACCAGACCTGCTGCCTGGTGTCTGCCTTTCTTTTCCTGCTTGTAAGCATGAAATTTCCGAAGGACGTGTTACTGCGTTTCTACCCCGAATAACCTTCCTGCTGGAACCGCCTTGCCAAGTCATTCAGCGCTGGCTGGCTGCGGTGGCCGGCTGACTCTATATGGTTCGTGCATCTGTAGGCACATGGCGTTCCTGTCGGGGCTCCGCGGCGGTCAGGTTTCCAAACAGTGTGTTGAAGTTTTACCATCAGACCCGGAGCCTATAGAGCTGCTAAAACAGTTCGCGGTCAACCACGGAATGTGTGTAAAAAAACTGCAAATGTCGGTGTAGGATGTGTGTGTATTTACATACACTGATTTTGTTTTTTTTTTTACCCACAGTTTTGACAGTGTGGTTGATCTTTATCTTAAACATTGTTATTTTCAGAGCTTTATTTTAAGGTACATAACCACAGCGTGAGTGTCTTTCCCGCTGCTTCCAGGACCTTGATTTGGACTGTTGACTATTAAAGCTGCCATTTTAATGTCATAGTCACCAGACTTTTTTTTTTTAACACAATTTTTCAAACATAACTTTTGTGTAAAATTCCATTTTATTTTCCTCAGTGCCTTCCTTCTTTCTTCTCTCCCCCCGTAGAGACTTTGGTTTGTGTTGTGAGTTAGAACAGGTTGAGTTAATGGAGAACGTCAAAGCAGCTTGTAGC